CGCGGGCCGCGGGCCGCGCCTCACTCACCCAGCACCAGCAGCTGGATGTAGAAGTAGCTGAGCCGGACGCCGTCCTGGGACTCGTACAGCGCCTGGCAGGTGTACAGCCCCTCGGCGGCCAGGGGCAGCCTGTCGATGACCAGCGCGGCGCTGGCGGAGACCACGCTGACCTCGCCCAGGCTGCTGGCCAGCTTCTGCAGGCGCGGGCCCTGGCCGTAGTTGTAGACCAGCGCGCGGGTGCCCTCGGAGCCGGGCAGCGTGAAGCCCCAGATGTAGATGCTGGGCAGGGTGGAGCCACACTCCAGCACGACAGAGCGGCCCAGGACGCCCTTGGTCAGGACGCGCTTGTACTCCACCTCCCCCGGGCTCAGGATCTCCAGGCCTGGGGGCAGAGACGCAGCGGGGAAGACTCCGCAGGCCAGCGACGGACCAGCGCCCACCCTCCCCCAGCCCACTGGACCAGCGCCCTCCCTCCCCCAGTCCACTGACAGACCAGCGCCCCCCCTCCCCCAGGCCCACTGGACCAGTCTCACCAGTCTCATTCTTCCTGAGCCCACAGGGACAGAGCAGGTCCTAAAACTACAGCCTCATTGAAAACTGTACACTCCAGGAAACCAGTCGTGTTTTCGACATGCAGTATAAATTCTGGAAGCGTCTAAGCGTTCATTCATCAGTTTCTCCAACCTCCTCGCACACGGAGCGCTCGAAACGTTCCACCGTCTGAAAACGTCAACCTCGGTTACCACAGGCTGCTCGGAGACAACGACACTACAGCCTTCCAAACTCACACACCTGCTAGTCCAAGCCCTTGGAGAGTCTCTGAAGACTGCTGGTGGAGACGTTATTGTGTCTTCCACCACCAGCCCGGGGTCTGGTTGTGAGGAGCCGTGAGGGAGAGGGGTCTCGGCCCTCACAGCCTTGACTCGGGAAGCAGGACGGTTTCAGGGAAATCAGGAGGCACCGGTCCCGGTCCCTGGAGTGACAGACTCTGAGCCCCCCTCCTGCAAGCCCCCCGCCCACCGGTGTCTTACCTCGCAGGACGCCGAGGAGGAGACAGAGAGTCAGGGAGAGGACGTGCGCCCCGGCTAGCGCGCCCCCCATGGTGCCATCGTGTGCGGGAGAGCTACCCAGAACCACGTCGGAGCAGCGTTCCCGAATCCTGGAGAGCTCCGAATCCGCGGCGCCGACCTGACTCCGGCGCTGACTGGCACGCAGACTGCCGGTCCGAGACGAGGGCACTGACACCAGATTGGCGGTGAATTATTGACGCCCACACTCCCTCCTCCCCGGTGTGGAGGACAGGGTGTCAGGATGATACCGGGGCTCATCTATAATTGACGGCAGAGAGACGAGCAGCTCCAGCCCAGCGCCCTGCGAGCGGGGCTGCCCCTTCTCGAAACCGGCTCACCTTCGAGCAGGGGGGTGTCCGTCTGCGGGGGGGTTCGCTGCACATTTTCAATGAGCCACTGATGTCATGGAAATGGGAAATGGGAGCTCCTTACAGACCGGGGGCTCCCCCTCACCGCGCCCTGAAACGAAACCTGCGCGGCTCCCACGGACTGCTGATGCAGGGTCTGACCGCAGCAGGCCGGGCTCCTCGCTCGCCTGCTGTGGAATCACTGCCGGGGTGATTCGGGTCTGAGGGCCCAGCGGTTCTGACTCTGCAGACAAGCTCTTCTGCCGCAAACCCGCTGTCTTTCCAGGAGGGGTATCAGGTGCAGGAAACTCAATCAGAGAAAGAGAGTCGGCCACTGGATCCCAGGCTGTAACAGGATACAGATGCTCAGAGGTCCTCATCTTTCACAATTACATTGAAACTTTAATGACGTGTAAAAACTTCTAGAAGCGTGAGTACAGGCATGCACCGTACGAGGCACTCCAGCTGGCGGACGACACCGGCGCGCGAGCACCACCAGGGCGGCGCTGTTGAGGCCGGTCTCTCAGCAGCGCGCCGATGCGTGGGGCAAGTCTCTCCTCTGTACCCCCGCACAGTGCCCGGCGAGGCGATCCGCGGTGCCGCTGTGCCCCTGCAGGCGGCCGTGTGGAGGGGCGGGGAGGGGACAGAATGAAAGAGGCCTGCTCCGCGGCCCATGGAGACACAGCTGGATTCCTAGAGCCCTGACTGAGCCACAGCGCTGCGAGTCGGGCGCAGACGGGGTTAAACACTGCCGGGTTTCTCCGACAAACTGACACAAATAGCATATTAGGGAGCTATAAAAGCAAAAGAAAGCATGCAGCTTGGTCTGTAATTAGGAGGGGGATAATGAACTGTTGGACTGCAGCAGGCTGGGCGAATTCTTTCACAGTGAAACAGCACTTATTTTAAACTCCTCTTCACATGGCAGGGCCTGGTTACAGGGACAGACTCCATCTGCTGCACCAGCTCAGAAAACACGTGTGCTTTCACAGCAGACATGGGGTCTTATCTGCCTTCACTCAGCTCAGGGGCCTTGTGTCCCAGTGCGAGCGAGGGGGCTGTGGTGTGTTCAGTGTCTCAGTGCGAGCGAGGGG